CTTGCGAAGAGATCCCCCTTAGGCCATCTCCATTCGTCTTCTACGATATGTCCGAGACCACCATCCAGCCCAAACCATACATGGAAATACGGCATCTCCTTGACCATCGTCTTTCTGAACGCGCCGCGGCCGTACTTTTCCCGGGCCGACTTGGCTGTGTCAATGATCTTGCGATGCTGAGTCCATTCCTCATCGGCAGCGAGAATGGCTTCTTTGAAAAATCCGGGGGCTGCATCCTGCAAGCTCCAACTTAACGGTACCGCAACCATGGCCGCATGTCGCTTGCGCCCCAGTTCCGCTGCATTTTCGTAAAAGATCACTCCTTTATCTAAGTTCTGGTAGAATCGTGTCAATGCCTTCTGGAAATTGCGTATCTCTTCCCATTCATCATCGTCACATTCTAACAGATTGAGTCGGTGCTGAATAGGCACAATCACCGCCCCATACCTGACGAGTTCAGGTTCGGTGTGGAGGGTCATGTAAGTCCTAGTGCCAAGGCTGATGAGAGGTGCTTGAGGTGGTTCGTTGCGATCTTCGTGGTGACAGAGAGGGCAGGCGTCCAGGACCTTTTGCATTTTCTGGAACTCGCCAACAGCAGTATTGCGTAGTGCCGAGTCGCTTTTGGCCACCCTCTTGGCTAGTTTCGTTGCATTGTCGTCCATGTATTCCAGGTCATTGTCGAATTTGCCATCCTTTGCAATCCGCTCTGCAAGCAGTAATCCTTCATTACCCTGGCCTGTGCCTCGGGAGCGTCTTTCCGCTCGCACCATATCTTCAATCGACATTTCTTCGTTCTCTTCAACGTTTCCGCGCTCATGGCCGCGTCTGTTAGTAACAGGTTTGACTTCACCAGCGCGTCCGCCCGTCAGCATTCTGTTGTCCATATTGGAGAGGACAATAACATCTGGTTGGGTCGAATTTGCGGAAGCAGCGAGAGCCGCATTGTATTCCGTTTGGAGGGTCTCAAGATTCCGGTCATTGCGAAGTTTGGCTTTCATCATTTTTGCCTTGAGCTTGTTGAGGCCAGTCTGATCCAGAGGGAGAGTCGTAGATGGTGGTAAGCGCTCAGCCTCGAAAGTTCCCTGCGCTGGCATCGTATCGTTGTCGGCACTTTTACGGTCATTCGTCGAGGACTTCCGATGTATTCCTGCATCCATCTTCCGTTCTTGAAAAAATTCGCCACTAGGCTTTTCAAGTCCCACGTAGTCTTTGCCATATCGTTCCCGACGATCGAGCTCACGTTCCTCCTCTCTGGCATCGTCAAAGTCCCGCAAGTCTCCATATCTTTCTAGGGCCACCTGCTCCACAGATCGTCCGTCCTCTTTGGCTGCTCGATATACGTTTCGCAATTTGCTCATGCGCCATTGTGAGCCGGAGTCGCCGAAGGTGTAAGAGACCTCGTGCTGAGCAGGTTCGTCCTCGACAGGAACTTCGCGATCCTCTCCTTCGTCAGCCAGATCTTTCTCTAGCTGGTCAAGGTCGTGCTGGTGCAGCTTTCTTTCGTGACTTTCTTTAGCGCTGACGAATTGCGAGGGCGGTGATTTCTTGGCCCGATTGCGCTGCAGATAATCCACGTCCAGCGAGGATGGAGCTTGCATCCAGGAATCCCTTTGGAGATGGGATTCTTGTTGATCTACATCGCGCTCGTCCAGAATGTCTTCAGTCGGAGGCGCAGTCATAGCTTCCTTCTCCACCCATTCGTCCTCTTCGTCTGGCGGCTCATCTCTTGGTGACTCGCTTCTCGCGCGCTTAGATCGATGCCGGTCGTCATGATCTCTGCTGTCCCTGTGCTCTCTGTGCTCTCTCTCGCGCGATCTCTTCCGCCCGTGTCGGTCATCTCGGCGTGAATCCCCATGTCGCGACGATCTGTGGTGATGGCTGTGTTTATGCCGATGCCTATCACTGTCACGGTGTCTGCTCCTGTCGCGCTTCTTTTCGCCCCTCGACGCCTGCTCTGCTGCAAGCTCGCGCTCGAAGTCTTCCAAGCCCATGACGGAGGATTTTTGTGTACAATCAAGAAGGAGAGGTCAAGGTACCGAAGGTGGCCGATTATGTCATGGCCCAAGCTTCAGAAATATTTCTGTCCCGCTTTGCGGACTGCACACTAAAACTCACCATCCTCCGGAACACATAAAGCGGTAATTTCCTATAAAGGTCGATTAGCCGCTCACGCGGTAACTATACCGAGATGGCGACTGCTCCATCCGCTGCCTCGCCTGGGCAGAAACCCATCTCTGTGGTATGCGTTGGAATGGCGGGCTCCGGCAAGACCACATTTATGCAGCGCATCAACTCGTACCTGCACCAGAAGCGCGAGCCGCCATATGTCTTGAATCTCGATCCCGCGGTTCGCTCGACGCCATACGAGTCCAACATCGATATCCGCGACTCTGTCAACTACAAGGAAGTCATGAAGCAGTACAACCTCGGGCCCAACGGTGGCATTATCACCTCTCTCAACCTCTTCGCCACAAAGATCGACCAGGTACTCGGACTGCTAGAGAAGCGCTGCCTACCAGATGCATCGGCCGCGACCCCTACTAAACCACCGCACAAGCACATCCTCCTCGACACGCCAGGACAGATTGAAGTATTCGTTTGGTCAGCATCTGGTTCCATTCTCCTCTCAGCGCTAGCCTCTTCTTTTCCCACAGTCTTAGCCTACATCATTGATACACCACGCACCACATCCTCCACCTCGACTTTCATGAGCAACATGCTCTATGCCATCTCAATCATGTACAAAACGAAGCTACCGATGATCCTTGTTTTCAACAAGACAGACGTCAAAGATCCCTCTGAATCCATAGAATGGATGCGTGACTTTGAATCCTTCCAAGCCGCTCTGCGCCGCGAGGAAGAGACCGAAACCGAAGGCGGTGCCGGCGGAACTGGCTACATGAGCAGTTTGCTCAACAGCATGAGCCTTGTCCTCGAGGAGTTCTACAACAACCTCAGCGTTGTTGGCGTCAGCAGCATGACCGGTGACGGCGTGGATGACTTCTTCGCCGCGGTGGAATCTAAGCGCGCAGAATTCGACGCAGAGTATGCTCCGGAGCTGCAACGACGCAGGGCGGAGCGCGAGGCGGAGAAGGAAGGCAATCGTGAAAAGGAAGTGGAGCGGCTGATGAAGGACATGGGCGTCAGCGAGAAGAAGGCCAAGGGCAAGCCGAGGGAGGAGCCAGAGACGGTCAGCGAGGCAGAGGAAATGAGCGATGACGATGACGTTGGAGATGACAGCGAGGACGAAGCCAACACTGGTCGCGGAGGCGCAGAGTCTGGGCTAAAGCAGCGATACCAACAGGCACTGCAGGACAGCAGCTCCATGTCCGCTGAGGACGCAAGCTTCGCAAAGTACCTCGCCGCGGCGCGGGCGAATCAGTCATGAGGACTGGACGGACGTACGCAGAACAAATATTATGATACCCAAGAGGCACGTAAATGCTATGCTATGTACAGTATACCCAAATTCTCGACCTTGTGCATTTACCTAGCCCTCCTCGTTTCACTCCCAGCGAACCCATAGTATCCCCCACCAAATTCTAGACTTGCATTCTGGAACACCACCTCCTCTTCCACCTCCCACCATCCAACATCCTTCCTTACTTTGCCACTCCCAGTCCACCACCCCCTCATATCCCACCACCTTGGCCCCCACCGCCACCCATACACCTTCACCTTAATCTCAGCAGCGAAGCTCTCCGCCAGCAGATTATCCAAATGCCCATTCGGAAATGGCGCCGACAGCGGAAAGAACGTGTCCTCCGGCGCCTTCGCCGTGACATCAATCCTCTGAGTCCAAGACGTAGCCGACAGCTTGAACTGCCTTTTCTCGAACTCCGGGGTAGTCGTCAGCGTCGGACTGAGCGAGAGTAATCGCATGGCGTACGGCGGACGGAAGTCCAGCTCGAATGGCTTCTCCTTCGTGGCGGCCGGGTGCGTGGTCGAGCGGTAGCCCATCAGGTATGCTTCTGTGCCGAGGATTTTGCCGCCCGCGATGCAGACGCTGCGTTGTGGGAAAGGAGTGGAGGAAGTGGTGTAGTCGCGGGCTTGGATCCAGATGTGCGCGGAGGGGAAGCTTTGAGCCCAGTTCTTCTCTTGGTGAACGGTGGCGGTGCCGGAGTGGTCGGCTTTGGGCACGGCAAAGGAAGGGATGGACATGGCGAAGTCGCAGGCTGCCGCGAGGGAGTGGACGTGCCAATGGAGGGGGAGGGGGAGATGCACGAGGAGGTCTTCTGGAGTATCCGTAGTAGAGGACCATGGTTGGTGGGTGGTAGTTTTGCCGCTGAAGGTAAAGTCTTCGTGCTTGATGGTGTAGGTGGTCGTGCTGTCTGCCTCGACTTTCATGCTACCAATAGGTGACGCCCGGAGCTCGAATGAACCGTCTGGGGATGTTTTGACCATTTCCATCGAGTCGATGAATATCTCCCGTTGGAAGTACTCAGTCGATCCTTTGGGCACATATGTGAATGACACCAGATGGGCCCTGTCTTTCGCGTTCGGAACATTGCTGATGATTAATGCAAGACGTGCACCAGAGGGCAAATCGAATTTCGAGTAGTAGCCTTCAAATTGACTGCCTGGATGGGGCGCGAAGTGGTTCATCTTCTTCCTCAATGGCACAGCTGTGTAGAAGGTGGCTAATTTTCAAAGGTCGAGATACAGAGAATACACGCGATTCAACAGTACCAAAGACACCTGCTTACTTTCTTGTGTTCGCGGACTAACTTACGGTTGAGAGACAAGTAGATAGAATTGTTGGCCGAGCTAGATTTATCAAATGAGTATGTGACTACGTCATATACCTTCGCCTTTGCAGGATCGCACGTTCCGAATCGTTCAAACTACAGCCTCTCTCTGGACAAGCAAAAATTGGGCAAGTACGATACACACTCGTAATCTGCTGCCTGGTACTGCACTTTTCAGCCAAAAAAAAGTTTGTGGAGACTCTATCTGTCTTCACAGTACAAATGTCCCAAAAAATGCCAAAAGAAAGCGATTAGCTGAGAGTGGTTTCGATCCACTGTCCTCCGGGTTATGAGCCCGGCTATTACATGTTAGTAGCTGCTTGACTGGTGTGATCAGATGTGATAGCTTACCGCGCTTCCGCTGCGCCACTCAGCTATTGTTGAAGAACTTCCTGCGATTTCAATGAATATCTATATCCTTGATCGTTTGCTCCCCATTTTTCTGCATCATACGGTCCATACGACCACAGAAAAATTGTAATATCTCGTATCCGTACGCAACTGAATATTCTCTAATGTTCAGACCTGCCTCTTTTGGTATGTGGTTGCTGGTCTTTGTCGTGGCCGGATTTTGCCGTGCAACTCTTGGAATCGAAGTACAAAATGCTCACTCCGTTGGCAGGTGGCCTACCTACGATTCTGTATACGAAACACCTCATTTGTCTTCATCATAATTTTATCTAGTACCAGAATTGCGCGATCTGTCTAAACATATACTGTTTGGACATTACAAAGGGTCGCTATTCAATGCAGACTGCTCTATCCCTGCTCGATGACTGCTAGTGGGACATTAGCCCCACCTGCGTTTTACCGACTCTTGAGAGCCGTGCCCCGCCAACCCATGTCATTCTCGCTACCAAACCAGGTACATGATCGAGTTCAGAATCAGGTAGGTCATATATGGGAAAGGCAAGCGCCAGGACACGGCATAGAAACGAAGCCTTCTCCGTCTGATGGAACAGAGTCTCTTTGCTCACCAGTACTTTGGAAAAGTGGCTAACTTGCTTTGCGCGTGCGCTGTCGACAAACCGCGTTACTGGCTTTCGGAACGCGTCCATTATATGCGGATGAGGTGCCCGAAAACAGCAAAGAGTCACTACAGTTATTGCCACGATAGTTCCTCACTAGCGAGGCATCATAGAAACCCAGAATGGCAACTCTCAACCATCTTACTCTCAATGGCAGATTCATTGGTGTTGAGAGCGAATACATGTACCACTTTCGGGGCATACCATACGGCACTGTGACTCAGCGTTTCACCAACCCAGTGATGAAAAGCACTTTTGATGGCGAAGAGGTCGATTGTACAAGATATGGGTACGCCATCATGCCGGTTTCAATTCATTCATCTTTAAGACTGAGCTGACCCTGCTGCCCAGTCCGCGATGCCCCCAGATCAAGCTCGACATTGGCTACCTCCTGCGCGAGCCCGAGGGCCAAATCTTCCACTCCGAGACTGAGGATGAATTCGCATGTCTCAACCTCGACGTTGCCATCCCTAAAACCAAGCGCACCTACAAATTACCGGTCTTTCTCTGGGTCCATGGCGGGTCTCAGATCGTCAGCTACGGCAACGGAGCGAGCAAAGTCGGCGACGTACGAAAACTTGTTCAGTCTTCGGTCGAGCAGGGATCACCCATGATTGTGGTATCGGTCCAATACCGGCTGAATATCTTCCACGTTGGTGACAACCCCGAGCGCAAGAACTTTGGACTCAAAGATCTGCAATGTGCCGTGCGGTGGGTTCGGGACCATATCTATGGGTTTGGTGGCGATCCCGACAACATCACTCTGGCTGGTGAGAGCGCAGGGGCCGCTCTGGTACATGCGTTGATCGTCGCGGGCGCTGATGTGAGAAGAGCGTTATTAATGTCCGGAACACTGTGGATGTCGCCGCCCAGACCACACCCTATGGCTAGCTCCGCAGTGATCGAGCCCATCACCCTGCGACTGCATTCACAAGGATATACACTGCAAGATGCTCCAGCGGCAGAGCTCATTCGAATACAGAGCGAGATTCCAATCGTCTCGGTCTTCTTACAGGAGGCCCACGAACTAGCAGACTGGGCCACATCGACCGGCAAAGTCTCCATCCTGATGATCGGGGACTGCGAGTTCGAAAGTGCTATATTCCGCAACGGCATAGAAAACCTAAGCGCTGAGCAGATTGACGTAGCGTTCTCGAAAGCCGGACGGAGCGCGGAAGAGTTGAAAAAGCTATATCATATCAACCCCACTCGACCATCGTCCTGCAGAGCTGGAGCGCTTGACCTCCTCAATGATATATTCTGGGCGATACCAACCTCGAAGCTCAAGGCTCAAGTAGAGGATGCGGGAGGACTAGTTTTCCGGTACCTCTTCGACCAGCCAAACCCATGGCAAGCATCAGCGCGGGCTCATCATGCCGTAGACCTACTCCATCTGTTCGAGGGTTTCACTATCTCAGATCCCGGCGCGCTCGCCGTAGCCAAGGAACTCCGGCGGAGGCTCGTCTTGTTCGTGGCAGGACAGCCTCCGTGGCCAACAACCCGAACTTGCGCCTTTGGATCCCATGGGAACGTGTCCGAGATCGGGCGCGATGAAGTGACCACAAGGAGAAGAGTGACAGAAATGGAGCGTCTAGCGAAGATGCCCGCCAAAGATATCGCCGCGGCTCGGGCTGGGCTGGTGGTGGGAACGCTGAGTCTGCATAATTGAGCGCAATAATCGCCAGATGGGAGGCTTCGCGGTTTTGGTATCCGCTCATGTAGCGGTCATAACGAAAGAAATCACCGCAGACACGGCCATATATACGCAACAAACCGATTCAAAGCATTTCAAAGTTTGTTTCAATGACGACCGAGAGTGCTTCGATCCACTATCCTCCGGTTATCAGTGCGGCTGTTAGATGTCAATAGCTGATTGGCTGATGTGATCACATGTGACTTTGGGCAGACTTCGCAAGCGAGCAGGACTATATTAAAATCAGCACCATCGGACTTCTCAAGGTTGGCGGTCATTCTTGATAGCTTGCTGATCCACGACCACTAATGCTAGTTCTTCACAACTCCAGCTGAAGTCATAGACGCAGCCGAGTCCTCTCTCGATGCCTTCCTCCGGTGATGTGCCAGCCTCCTCCATCCGCTGAAACCTTTTGTGGGCGCTCTCACGGCACTAGCTGGGGAAAACAAGGTATCAGCTTCCGACTTTTTCTGCAGGGCAGGCAGTAGCGCTCCAGCCCCATCCACGCTGGCTGTGCTTCCGGGACGCTCTTCAATCATGCTCATGGGACGACTGATCTTGCTCACAAATGATGCATCGCCAGCACCGCTGACGCCGAGGACAGACCCCACCTTGCGACGCACAGTAGGAAGCGATGAGCGACTGGTGTCAGAGCTGCCAATGCTGTCCATCGTATTGACACTAGTCATGCTTGTGTGACTTGTGCTCCGTTCCGAGGTCTTGGTGGGGAACTGGTTGTCAGGGGCAAGAGTGGCTGTCCCCGACGAGTGCGTCGTGTCTGATGTACCATCCGTATGGATATTTTGATCGCGGCGAGAGGTGAACTCGAGGCCGATTCTCCAGTAGTCGCAATCGACGATCTGATCAAGGGTTCGAAGTCGCCGGTCGACCATACCTGGTGTGATACAGCATCCAACGAGCTCGGGGAACGCTCTTTTCAGTTTCCGGATGCTCTGAACGAGGTCGTAACCCCTGGCATCAAGCACGCATATCGCCCGGTCATGCGCCACGGCCCAGCGTATTGGTAAAGGCGTAAAGTCATCCTTGTTGCCGTGGGACCGTGATGGTGGTCGACCAGCGGCATCGGGAGTCTTGGTGCGAACGACACGATACTTGGTTGACTGTGCCGCTGACGCCGAACGATGAATCTCGAGACTGCTAGAGATGGAGGTCCTGCGCAAAGTGCCCGTGGAGGCATTACGAGCTGCCGGTGGTCTCAGGGACGAATGAGACCTGCGAGGTGGAGGGGGGATTGGCACCGAGAAGTCATCTTCGAACTCAATGGGCGACTTGCGGATGAGAGTCGCAGGGTCTATCGAAGAGGTTGTGGAAGGCTGACGGATGAGGTCGAACGACGACTTCTTTTGTAATCTTCATGAATTAGCGACTTCACGACACTGTAGATTCGGGGTCTACACTGCATACTTTGTGGTTGGTCGACTTGAGCGATACCAAGTCTTCTTCTGCGATGCGCCGGCGGCGTAGGACATGTCGGGAATTGCCTCGGTGCCTCCGAAGAGGCGGTCCTTTGTATGTAAGCCATTTGCGGAAGACTAGCCTAATGAAACAAACCAAAGACGCTCGAAAGTCCGACTCGTCCTCTTCTATCACGGTCGACGGTCGAAGCGACAGTGACTGAAAGTGTGAGCTTCGACATCACTTGAGAAATTACTCGCCATTCAAACCTGTTGAGAGGCAGCAATCTGACCATCAGCTTGCAAGTAACTAGTGAGGTCGACAGAATAGCGGGAAGACGAGACGATGTCGGTGTCCGTCATGGACGCATGTCAGCCGAAATCGAGGTGAAAGAGGGCTTCGGGCTCGTGTCTCTTGATGTAGTGACGCTAGAACTCAGAGCTGGCAGGTTTAGCTCCTGTCGCCAATTAGAAGACAAGGACAAGGCGAAATGGTGTAGCCGTAGAACGCAAGTATTGCACAGCATTGGCCGTGTAATAGAGAAAGAAACAGAGAGGTGCAGAAGCGCAGCAGAAACAACACAGGCAGGAACGAGACCTGCTCCTGCCTCGAGGGTCGAAATGAGAGAAGGAATCTCTGGTGAATAAATCTTTTCGGTCGTAGATTACTTTGGCCGATACGTCAACGTCAGCATCGTCCTGTTTTACATACACGCGCCCCAGTCCGCTTTTTACACGCCCGCGCCCGCAGTAAGTGAGCCCGCTCCGCCGAGAATAACCATCAGTGCGAAAACGACACGAATGTAGCAGTTTTAGCCGTCGGAAGTGAATCCAAGTTGTTCCTACTTCTGCAGACCAATCTTGCTCAGCAGCGAACCACTTGAACCGCCCTGGTTCTTCTCGATCACACCCAGAATGCTCTTCCACACAACACCGGGCTCCTGGCTCGCATCGATTCCCTTCCACACACCAGTCTTGCGGTAGTATCCGACTACAGGGCCGGTCTGGTCGTGGTAGGTACCCAATCGCTTCTTGAGCGTGTCGGCATTGTCGTCGCTACGCTGAATGAGCGGCTCACCAGTGGCGTCATCAGTCATTTCCTTCTTAGGGGGATTGAAAATCTTGTGGTACGACCGTCCAGAGGCGGGGTGAACCAGACGTCCAGTGATACGGGCGACGAGAAGCGCATCGTCGATTTGGAGCTCAATCGCGTGCTGAAGCTGTTGTTTCCTGGCCTCCA